TGCTAAGCATGAATATGCCAACATTTACTAATTAAGTGCATAGCTGGTGGATGTTTGTTGTTTCCTTTTTTTCTTTTTTTGCTCCCGCAGATAATTAGGTAATAAACATCCGTGTCTCTGTGTGTGTGTGTGTGTGTGTGTGTGTGTGTGTGTTTACATGCGCGTACTATGAAGGTTTATCTGCAGAATAAATTAAAGTCTCAGAGAAATGGCAAAATCATGCCTGGAATTTTGACATGGGGGGGTTTGATAGAGTGGATTTCTTTTAAGTAGTGCTAATGTTCAAGAGCATAATGTGGGTTCTGTGTGCTGTGTGAGGAAGAACAAAGGCCTGGCAAGACCTGGCCTCTTATCCAGGCTCTGCTACATATACACCTCAGGACCTCCCTGACCTTCAGTGTCTTTATCTGCAAAGTGGAATAAATAAGATCTGCCCAGATCAACCAGTCACCTTGGCTCAGGGCCCACCCTAGGTCATCATTTTAACTGAATTACCTCTGTGAAGGCCTCTTTCTAAATACGGTCACATCCTGAGGCACTGAAGGTTAGGACTTCAACATATGGATTTTTTTTTGGGGGGGGGACACAATTCAGCCCATCTCAAAGAGCCTGGTGATGAATATGTGTTACTGAATGATGAAAGAGCGCAAGAATGAAGGGATTTGCATCTGTTCAGTAGAAATAAACCACGTTCTGTGGGCAAACCATAGCTCGGTTTATGGGGCAAGGGCAGGAAGAGATAAAGATTGCTATATTCAGGTGAACACAGACTGTGGATGGTTTTTACAGGGCAGTCGGCATCCTGGCGGCAGAGCCTGGATTTTAGGCCTGTCCTGCAGGCGTGCCTGGGTAAAGGCAACCATGAACTGGATTTATTCCAATTGGCTAATTTTTTCTTTTAAATTTTATTCACATTCTCAAAACTACAAAAATAATGTGTGTTTGTTGTAAAAAGAGAAAACCCTGCAATTGCTCGCCATCTCATTCGGAGTAAAATCCACTGACTGAGAAGGTTCTAACTAATTCCCCCCACCCTCCTACCCTCTGACCTCATCTGCTAGCACTCTCCCTCTTTCCTGCCACCCTGGCCACATCTACCTCCTTGCTGTTCAGAGACACCAGGCCTGGAGCCACCACAGGACCTTTGCACCTTCTCGTCCTCTGCCGGGGCGGTGGGGGGGAGGGGCTTCCTTCACATATCTTCACAGCTGAGGCCTTCTGATTCTCCGTGAACAATGGGGTCCTTCTCTCTGTCCTTTTGTACTTTTAGGAGTGGGTAACCAGCAGCGAGACTGAGGGTCTTTTTATATGCTCTCAGCAGTTTGTTTTTCTGCCTCTAAGGATTACCTGTTTATATCTTTTGCTGAATTTTCTCTTGGGTTAGTTATCTTAGCTTTCATTTTTCAAAATTTTATTGATTGAATTCTAAACCTGTAGAAAGCTTTAGGAGTGAAACTGTTCATCACAGAGTTATTTACACTGATGAAAAATTGGAAACAGCCTTCAATGCAGAAATGGTAAATAAGTAGTGGAAGAATTGTTATGCAACAGTTAAAAAGGAAATTCAGTAAACCTATGAAATAGCAGGAAATGTGAAATATAAATATGTGCAATAACATGAAAATATAATGTTAAATTATAATACTAACAGGAAAAAAATAGAGGTTTTCTCAGGGAAAAATTTTTTATGTAGAATAATTATAATTTATAAATAACAAACACCTTGGAAGGCAATCTGCCATCAGGTGAAGAGTGGCTGTGTTTGAATGTGGTATTATGGGTGATTCCGATTATCTTGTACTTTCTTGCACTTTCACAATGAGTTGATTTACTTGAAAATAAAAACAAAAGTGATCGTAGGTAAATTTTAAAAACTATTGCATGAATCATAACAAATGTCATGGAAGTAGTAATAGCAGCAGGGAAATATTCTCCCAGAATCCTGTTACTTCTAAGAAATCAAACAACTCCCTTTCTTCCCCTTTGCCTTGGAATCCTAGCCTATGGGATTATAAAATCTGTAGGTAGTTAGGACCGGATATTTAGCTTCACAGTGAAACATGACTATTTGAAATTCAACATTTGAGGGGGAGGGGGGCTGAGGAGGCTGTGCCAAATTAAAGTGAGTAGCAAGAAATTATGTGGTTCCAATATATTATGTAAACTCATTCTGCAGGTCAAGGCTGTCTCCAGGTGGGTCAGCCTCCACAGGATTGGCCGGCGTAGCCTCACATATGGTAGCGGGCCATCTGTCCCTGTTAATCCTGTAGGCCTCTCAGCATCCTGCCCCCTCAAAGAAAGAAGGCCAAGTGTGGGGTCAGAGACACACCTGCTAATGGGGTGTGACCCTCAGAGAAGGAAGGACTCCATCCACAGCCTTGAAAGGAACCCCTCTGCCCCAGCCCTGAGGACCAGGAGGTGGCTCAAGGTCAGTAAGTGGTCCAAGTGGTGGCTAGGATTCTGGACCAGATGGTGTCTGGACTACAGCTCTAGAGAGGCCTGAGCTCAACCCTGGCTCTAGACCTTTGGCATGGTGTGAACCTCTCTGAGCCTCGGTTTCCCCAGCTGCAAAGTCACTGTCACTGTAAGGACTGAATGAGAAAACTCACATCTGCTTCTACTGGTGGTTATCATCATTACCCAATGTGTCTGTCTTTCCTGCTGCAGTGAAAGCTAGTTGTTTCATGAAAGGGAGCAAACCCCCTTGCAGGGGAGGTCTGGGTGCCCCTGGTGCTGTGGTCCATGAGCTGGGCATTAGCCCCCGTGCAGACACCCCAAAACTGTTACCACTGCCTTCCTGAACACACATGACTTCCTGTTTTCTAAACTCTCAGCCTGCAATGTCATCGTCAGTCCGGTCTGAGTCTGGGGGTGGGGCTGGGCCGCCGAAGCCCTGAGGGCTCAAGGTTAGGGCTGCAAAAGGCAGTCAGGCGGCTGGGAATCGGGCTGGTCCTACCTGAACTGAGGTCTTTGTGATGAATATGGATGTTGTGAGCGCCTATGTACTGAGAGCTTACCCTGTGAGAGAGCTATGGAATGCTTCCACAGAGGGTTAAGTGCCAGAGCCAAGGCTCCTACTCAAGTCCTCTACCTCCGAAGGATTGGCTCTTGCTGTGATGCCTAAGTCTTTCCTATTAAGGGGGAGACCAGCTGGATACGGGTGAGATTTTTAAAGGCTGCCTTATAGGAGTAGGAGAATCTGTGTTCTTTGTGCTTCTGAAGGCAGAACTAAGACCAAAGCTGTTTTGTTTTTTGGATTTTTTTTTTTAAAGATTTATTTATTTATTTGACAGAGAGAGAGAGAGAGACAGACAGACACAGAGAGCACAAGCAGGGGGAGCAGCAGAGGGAGAGGGAGAAGCAGGCTCTCCACTGAGCAGGGAGCCTGATGCGGGGCTCGATCCCAGGACCCGGGGATCACGACCTGAGCCAAAGGTAGACACTTAACCGCTGAGCCACCCAGGTGCCCCCACAGCTGTTTTTTAACAACGCTGAAAATGAGAACTCTCCACCAGTGATTGATGAGTGGTGAGCTCCCTGTCACCCAGGGTATTCAAGCAGAGGCTGAAGGTATCAGAGAAGAAATGCCTACAGAAGGTGGGAGGCTCTCTGGAGAACATGAACTCCAGAAGCACCAGGATAAAGTGGAAAGACAAGGGGATTAGCGTCAGATGCGCTTGGGAACTTTCCTGCCGAGTGACCCTTCTGAGCTTCAGTTCCCTTGTCTGCAAAATAGAATCGGTAGTAATTCTGCCCATGTCATAAAGAGTTGTTTTGAGGGGGCGCCTGAGTGGCTTCAGTCAGTTAAGCGTCTGCCTTCGGCTCAGGTCATGATGCCAGGGTCCTGGGATTCAAGCCCCACATCGGGCTCCCTGCTCAGCGGGGAGCCTGCTTCTCCCTCTCCCTCTGCCTCCCCGCCTGCCTACTTGTGATCTCTCTCTCTCTTTGTCAAATAAATAAATAAAATCTCAAAAAAAAAAAAGTTGTTTTGAGGATTTAATCAGATAATGCAAGGGCGAAGAGTTCTCTACTCTGTACGCTGGGTCAGATGTGAGTTATGTTGTTACCCTTTCCTGAAGCCAGGAGGTACTTCATGAATCTTCATTAACTGATTTTATCCTCATACACTCGAAAGGTGGGTATCTCCATGTTGAGCTGGGGAGCCGATCAGGTTCCGTCCCCCCACCTTGGCAAGAGTGAGGGGCGGGGAGCCCTGGTCCACTCCTGCTGCTGCTTCGACCTAAGAGGCCATTGTGGTGGCAGAGAAGGCCACCTGAGACCTCAGTTCAGTGCCTGCCACCTGCCAGTGCAGGGCACCCCCCCCCACGCCCCGTTCTTGCGGGCATCTGCATAACTACCCGCTGGAGTCAGTCTCATTAAAGCCCTTTTGCAGATGAGGGAACTGAAATTCAGAGAGGTTAACAAAGCAGTCCCTGAACACAGAGCCAGGAGGAGGCAGATTCAGAACTCGAATCTTAGTCTTTCTGGCTCTAAGGCCTATGTCTTTCTCTTCTCACGTCGCCTCGTGAGGAGGGGAAATAAGCAAGTGAAACCAAAATGTATCGCTTGTGCTTTCCAGGGCTTGCTCCGGAGAGGACACCAGACATGAAAAGCCCATAAGCTGCCGGGACTACCTGTTAAAACCTGGCAAACAGTAAGGGCTGTGAGTTCAGGGCTACGTGACCACTCTGTGCCCTGCACCCACAGGTGAGGGGCCCCCGGAGGCAGGAGGCCCAGGAACGCCCCCCAGGGCTGCCCCTAGCCTGCGGCTGTCCTCAAGCCAGTTACTTTTCTCCTCTGGTCTTGGTTTATAACTGAGTTGTGTTGGACCCAATAATAGATAGAGCCTTGCCTACCTTCTGGACTCTCATAGAATCGAGCTCAATCAGGCACAGGAAGTAATTTTAAAAAGTACAAGTTGGGGTTCAAGTGCAAGGGATCCTTACCAGTTGGTAAGGATCGTGTGCGGGGGGCAGGGGCTGGCTCGAGGGGGGCCGACCACTGGTGTATGTTCGCAGCTTCCTCGTGGCTGGACCAGGTGGATGAGACCTGCTTTCCCTGTTCCCAGAAGCTTGTGGTCTGGCCAAGAGACAAACAGTACAATTCAAACACACCTCATTCAAAGAAATTAGACTCTGTAAACAAGTGCCTCCCCCAGGCTGCCCTCTGGGCTCCCCGCCAAATATTCCTGTGAATGGTCAGTGCCAGGAAACTTCCTGAACTCAGGGCTTTTGTAGAGACAACAGGGTGTATAGGGACGACTGGGCTTACTCTCACTAATGAGACTTGTAACCTTTCTCGATGCAGTGAGCTATAGGGGTAGAGACTCTGTGATCCATCTCCGGTTGCCATGGAGTCTCCTCTGGGCGTCTCATGTGGCCTGTTCCAGGTACCCCACTACTTGGCAGGCAGGCAGGCTCTGGCTTATTATGCATCATGGAAAAACCAGGTGGCAACATGGGGGTTGGGGGGGGGCTTCAGAGCAAGAAGCTGCTCCCTGAGCTCCCAGTGAAGCAGTGGGGGCCTGGCGGGGGGGTAGGGGCTTGGGGCCAGGGCTCAGGTACATTGTCCACTCACTGCACGTGGCTCGCGGGCAGACAGTGGGTGTGCGGGGGCCCGGGTCACCGAGGTGCCTGTTGGGGAGGTGCTTTTCGTTACACTGGGCGTGAGCACTAGACACCACCCTACCGAAGGCCATTCATCCAGGTGGATCATGATCCACTGGGACTGAGGGGTCTGCTGAGCTTCCTCACCCCACCAGGACTCCGTGACGACCAAGGCCCCTGGGAAGGTTTTCCCTCCAGGAGAGATCAAGCAGGTTTCTGACGAGGATGATATGAAGACCCCTCTGAAGAGAAGGAGAACTCCCATGGATGATGACCGACACCACTCCACATGTTGGCCGCCCACCACAGGTCCTCTCCATGAGTCCCAGGGTCTCATTTGTGGGACGGGAGGCCAAGTCCAGCCATGTGCTGAGCTCCACTGAGAAGATTTTTCGAGGAGGAGGGGCCGCTGGGATTCTCTGCCTTCTCCCTCCCTTGCCGGGAGATGCGGCTTTCTTCTGGGATGGTAGCCCACTGGCCCATTTGATCAGTGCCTGCCTGGCACTTCCCAGTGTGATGCAGGGGCCGGGAAGGGACCAGAGCCCAGGTTCGCACTTCAGCCAGGCCCTGGCCGTCCTGAGCTATGTCGTGTTTGTGATGGGGCTTGCCATAAGCACGCCGGGCAGTGTCCTCATGGCTGTGGACAAGGCCAGGCTGCAGGCCAGGCTCCCCCATTTGTTCCTCAGTGTTCTAATCTTGTATCCAGGACTGGGAGTACGTGAGTGAGCAAGGCCAGTTCTTCCGAGGCTTTAGCTTGCTTTTCTGCCAGGTGTCATCGGGGTGGTGTTTTGCCCTGGGATAACTGGAATCACCTAAAATACTGCTGTCCACCATCAGCCCGGCCCCCATGCGTAAGGCCTGATCGTCTGGGAGCTTGCCTGACGTAACACCTCTCTGTGCTCCAGCCCACCTGGACTTCAGTTTCCATATTTGCCGGACGTCCGTCCAGATGCAAGGGTGTGGCGCGGCGGGTCCCCTGTTAGACCTGGGTGAGGTAGGGTAGGGTGGGGATGGAAATCGGGGCCAAATCCCATAAATTTCCAGATTTGCTGAGTGTGCCTTGGGCAGGGGCCCAGAGAATGGCCTGGGGAGGTCCAGGTTGGATGAAAAAATGCTCAGGGGGTCAGATCCTACCCCAGCGCTCCTGCTTTGCAAATAGGACCTGTCCCCTTCCGCCTGGCGACTGTCACATCTAGGCCTGCACTGGGAGGCTATTGTTAGGTTGCTTTGTTCTCCTCAGCACAACTTCTCTGATATGAAGGCAGCATTTTCTAAATGGGAAATCATGTGACTGCTCAGAATACATCCCCCTCATCAAATGCCCGTTGGTTTAATGGGGAGGCCAGGATCTGGTTAGCTGTGCAGCTGTGAATACCCAGAGGTTAGACACATCAGTGTCTCTCGTCCTACCCAGTTGAAAAGGTCTTGATACAATTTGACCTTTTCTTCCTCAAAAAAAATGTGTTGGTGATTTTGGGGGAAAAAACAATTACGGTGACAACAGCTGACCCGGAGCACTTATGACACACCGGGTCGGGCACCTGCAACAGATAATCCTCACGGCCACCTAGTGAGATACGGAGTAGTGTGTCCAGTTTACAGATGAGGGAACCAAGGCTTAAGGCAGTTGAGTAGCACACAGTTGAGAAGTTCACAGAAATTACAGTGTCTAAGGACTGAGGCCTTACTTTCGTTCTGCACGTCCGTCTGGCTGTGATATTCGTCTTTGTTGTAGGGGACGTGTGTGCAAGGCTGCACGTGTATGCTCTTGCCACACTGAGTCTCCACCCCGGCCATGCCCTGGCCCAGGCTCCAGCCCAGACCTAGTCAGTGAGAAGCCGGGAGGCAGACGGGACTGGGCAGCCAGGACTGAGAGGCTAAGGGAGACCCTCAGTGTTTCTGGACACTTGCTCAGACCCTGGGTTCTCTTGGGTGCTATGGACTGGGGCTGAGGACTGGAACTCAGAGAAAACAGCTGCAGTTATATAGGAAAACAGCCACCATCCAGCGTGTTAAATACCCACCTCCCTTTGGGACTGAAGGTGATGGCGATACGAGAAGGTGTGCAAGTGGCTCGGGGAAGGATGCAAACAGGTCTCTGCCTTGGGGATGAGGGTGCAAGGAAGAAGCTGGAACCAGGGAGCGAGTGTCTCTGCCTCATGCCTTTGAGTTGGCATCCTGGAAAAGTATCTGCTGTTCAAGGGAAGTCTCTGGACCCAGGGTAAGCTGTAGCCTTAGCCCCATGAGGGCAGGGACTCAGAAGACCTTACCCGCCTGTTCGACATCACTGTTCTTATGGAAGAAATTTACAAAAACATCTACCGATACATTTTTTTTACTTTATTTTCACTACATCCTTAAAGTAGATCTGATTACCAACCATTTTACAGATGAAGAAACTGAGGCCCAGAGAGGTGAGGTGACTTGTCCGACACAGCTACTTAGTGGCAAGGGAAGGACTAGAATCCACCTGACACCCAATCCAGGGCTCCTGCTATGTCAGCCTTCCCTGGCATTGAGCAGATGCCCAAGAAATAGTCATCAATCAGTTACCTAATTGAATTAGACCCTGGGTCCCCTCGTGGAACTTTCCGTGCTATCACCGACTTCCTCAGGCCCCTCGCTCTCAGCACAAGCCCAGCTGGACCGGGTGGAGGGAGGATCCCTACCCCGGGAAACGTGTTGCGGTTAATATCCTGTCCTTGGCCAAACCACACACAACATACTTGTCATGGGCCATAAAATCATGCTGCTCTTTAAAAAGAAAGAAAGAAAACCTGTCCTTGTTACTTATCTCTGGGGGAGGCGACCAATTCCCCTCCCCCCCGTGCTGGCTCTGCACAACAGGAAGAAATATTTCTTCTCATTTGTTCTAAATTTACTGTCCAGTAATTTTTCTGTCCTCATTTTATGTGACAGGCAGCTGAGCGATTTTCTCCCAGCCCCTTTCCTGAATTTCAACCACCCCAATAAATCGCTGCTGACACCTCCTCTCCAGTCCTAAAAGAAAAAAATCACCCCAGCGTTGGTGGCCTTTGTTGGGGGATGGCTTACCTCCTAGAGGGCTTCGGACCCTTACCTGTGGTCAGTGCAGGGCTTGTGGCTTTGCCTCAGGGCCAGAGGGCAGGACAACTTTGGCCCCAGCATCTTCCCTGAAAACCACACAATATCTAATGAACGTCTCCCCTGCACCCCTGTGCTCTGCTGTTGAAGGTGAAGGGAAAAGGCAAAAAATGCAGCCATTGGTCTCTAGCGCTTACAGCCTAGGAGGAGGGGACTCTCAGAACCTGATGAGTTATGTGTGTTGGGGGGGGGTGTTTTGTTGGGGGGCAGAGAATCAGCCATTGAATTCCCAGGGGCAAAGGTCGGGGGCTAGGAGTCTCATGCTGAGTGGAGGGAATGTGCTAGCAATTGCAGGCTGGGAGAGGAGCAAGCTCAGGAAAGTTCTGGGGCGCTCAAGGAGGAGCAGGAGAGGAGGTGTGGGGAAGGCATCAGGGAGCTGGGCCTGGGCTGGTGGGTCAGGCCAGAGCCCAGCTTGATGAGGAGTTTGGATTTGCTCTGAGTGACGGGGTCATCAGCAGTTTCTGAGCAGGGCCTGTGGGAAGCTTACAAAGAGATCAGCCGCCCGGGGCCTAAGGGGTCCTGGATCAGGCTGGTAGTCAAAGGTTTGAGATTGGGATTCAGGGCCGTTAGAGTCGGAACCCCGGGGCAGCCTGGAATCACCTGCTTCCATAGTGCAGGGGAGACACCCAAACACCGCTCCTGGACAAGGGTGGGCAGAGCCGGGCCCAGGGCAGGAGAGCGAAGCGAGGGGGGACTCACTGCCTGGCACCAACCTGGGGCAGCTTCTTGCTTGCTGCTGGCTAAGCTGAAGTTCTCTGTGTTTCTATGTGGGGCTGTTGGATCAGATAAGGTATTGCATTAAAGGGGTGTCTGGCACATAGTAAACACCGAAGAAATGTTAGTTCTCATCCTATTGAATGGAAGAGGCAGCTGAAAGAGGGTGAATACCTTGCCCCAGGTCAACCCACTGGTAAGGCTGACAGGGCACAAGCGCCTGGCATCCACTCCCACAGCCCCGATAGAGGGCTGCAGGCGGCCACCAGGGGGCACTCTGGCCTTGGGAGAAGCACTGTGGGCCACGCGCGGCATTTCCGCGCAGGGGTGGAGGCAGGGGCTAGGCCCGTTATGCAGGCTGAGTTGCTGCACGCATACCTAGTAGGGAGTAGTCTAAAATCCATGTCTTCTCACTCGCAGTGCAGTGAGCTTTCATATAAAAATGTTTTTATTTAACCAGAATATTTACCATACCTCCTTGCCCAATCCCGTTGTACGAAAATGCCAGTGCTGGCTAAATGTGCACTACTAGTTTGACAGAGGGTAATATGGCAGTGAGGACTAGGGGTTCACCTGCAACTTGGGGTGGAACAGGCTAGACAGAGTTCTGAGCCACATTTCGTAGGATGCATCAGACTTTACCAGATGACAGGGTTGCAGGGGGAGACTATGTAGAGGGAACAGTGCATGCAAAGGCACAGAGGCAGAGTCTGGAAGAGCAAGGTGTGTCCCGGGAATTATAAGTGTGGGGGGGGAGGGAAGGAAGGGGGACAGGGCCAGATGAAGCTGAGGCCACGGAGCTGGGACCGGTGAGTAGGGAGATTGCCAGGTTCCAGCTGGGAGGGGGCTCCCCAACTGTACCTTTGTCTATTGCTCGTGAGACCCCTTGGGGCGGGGAGGGAAGCCCAGCCCCACGCCCCACTGCCCTGAGTGGGAGACGCTGCTCAGCGCCTGGCACTGAGGAAACTGGGAGTCAGGGAGGGAGAGTTAACCCAAATTCTCACAGTCCCAATTACTGATCTCATTCAAACCTCAATCCTGTTCTCTCCCTGCGAGGAGGCCTTAGGGAGCTACATGCCCTAATTCAGGTGGTGCCATTCATCCAGACACGGGTATTTTATTACAGAGACTTCCAGAATGCGTGGTTCATATGGGAGTTCACACACAGCTGGGTTCAGTGGGCCTGAGGCAGCAGTCCTGTGCCCACTGGACAGCTTCACCTTCCCACCTAGTTTCTGCTTCCTTCCGGTCTTCCTAGGATCTGTGGCCCCACCAAGTGTCATGTCAGGCTGTTGGGGGAGGGCAGGTTTTTCCCAGAGCTGGTCCAAGGGTATGGGGAGGGAAGTTGTGGTCAGATGGGGTGTGGGGAATGGATCCAGCCCCCCTTGTCATGATTTCCTGGACCAGTCAGTCATGCGGCCACCCTGGGATGGTGGGGATATGTTCTGTCACCCTGGGCCTGGCTGATCGGTCTCATCTCCTGGCACAGGCGCACAGAGCTTTGGCCTGCTGGATCCCAAACTGTGCTACCTGCTGGATGGGATCCTCTTCATCTATGGCATCATTCTCACTGCCCTGTTCCTGAGAGCAAAGGTGGGTGCCATGGGCCTTGGGGAGAAGGCGCGGGCTCCCCTACTTGGTGGATGTTCAGAAGGGCCTTAATCTTGGAAAGTCTCAAGCATGGGTGGTGCCTGGAGCCTGGTGTCCATGGCAGAGCAGGGGCCAGCCAAACATGCACCTTGGGTGGCGGGGTGGTGTCTGACGGAGCCCTGCAGAGTGGGAGGGTGTGATGCTGGGTGTCCTCCTGAGGAGCCATACAGATGAGCAAACATCGCAGCATCCCAGGGCAGGGCTACCGCTGGCCGGAAAGGAGCTTAAGCTTCAGGCAACTAAGAGCGGGAGGTGGGGGACCTGTGGTGTCTTCCCAGGCTCTGCTGTCCCGCTGCTGACTGAGGCAGAACCAGCCTGTCTCCGGGAACTTCAGGGTCCCTATCAGTGCACGTGAGGGTGGGCCCAGAGCACGGGTTTTCAGCTGGTGCCTCACAGAGTCTGGATTTCTTGCAAGGGCTGGGGCCGGGGGTGGTCGCCGTGCCAGCAGAGGGTGGAAGGCGGCTTGGTCCTTGTTATCACTTCAGTCCTCCCACCTATTGCTCTTTTGGATGGTAGGCTTTGGCACAAAGATTTCATTTGTAAAACAGTCTTACTTACTGATTTCCTTTTTAAAAGTTTGAACAGAGCTGTCCTAGATGATCTCTCAGGTGGTTTCCAATGCTGTGCCCCTGTACGATCCTGCCGTTTCTCTCGGCTCCGGCGGAGAGAAGAGCGCCAAGAGCGAGGCTGTGTGCGCCTTGGGCAGGTCCTCCAGGGCACTAAGCTAGTGCGACGCAGTGACGCACGAGGCCACGACAGGAGCTGGGACCTTGTGCAGCCACCGTCCCCCTCGGAGTGGCCGCCCGGGTTGGGGGGCCGGGGCGGGGGGGGGCCGCATGGGCCCAGCGCACAGGTGGGGGAGCGGGGCTCTAACCGCCCCACCCTCTCTTCCAGTTCAGCAGGAGCGCGGCCGCCCCCCAAGGCCAGCAGGACCCCAACCAGCTCTACAACGTAAGTCTGCCCTCCTGCAGCCCGCCAAGGGGCTGACGGCAGGGTCCTGGCTGCAGGCCGGACTGCGGCCCGTTGTCGAACGTCCCCAGGGCTTCGTTTTCTGGCACGCACATGGGGCCTGTGATTGTCCCCGCCGCGCAGGGACGCTGCGAGCGTGCCCTGGCCGGTGAGCCCCTCCCACCCGCACTTGGCAGGGGCCCCGCTGCGGGTGGGAGGGGGGTCAGTCGGCCTGCAGGGCAGCAGGGAAGAGATTTCACTCTCCCTGTGCAATGGGACTTGGGCCGAATCTATTTACACACACACACACACACAGACACACACACACACACACACACACACACAGACACGAGTCATGGTAATGCATGTTCTCTGAGATGCTTTACCGACATGGACCAGTTTTCACTCTAACCCCAGTCCCTGCCCCTTTCCTTGAGAGCCACCGCCCAGAGGGGGCTCCCAGTCCAGCTGGCGCAGTCCTCCTGTCCTCCCAGCCCTCTCTGACGCTTTCCTGTCTGTTTTAGGAGCTCAATCTAAGAGGAAGAGAGGAGTATGAGGTTTTGGATAAGAGACGAGGCCTGGACCCTGAGATGGGAGGAAAACAGGTAGGGTATCTGTCTCTCTGCCGGTGTGTGGGAGTGTGGGCGTGCTCAGCAGGACAGCCAGGAGACGGCTCCTCAGAGCCAGCCACTCCACCAGCACACTCCGTCCTGACATGCAAGGCACCTGGGGCCTGAGGACAGTCGGGAGTCCCCATTCCTTCCACCCCCTTCTCTTCCTTCCCCCTGGGCTCCATTCTGCATTGCAAGGGACCCCCCAGACATGAATGTGGCACTCTGGCCCTCCTGACCAAGCTCCACTCACCTCCCCTTAAACTGCTTGGCCACCCTGAGATGCACACGCAATGGGGCTGTGTGCTCCCCAAAAGGACATATCTGGTGAAGAGGTCCATATAGGAAGGGCCCAAGGCCATTGGATAAGGAATTCTGGGTCCCAGGTACCCCTTGGAGCATGGTCTGGCTCCGGGCTCCTAGTGGCTCTGTTCTCTTGGCTGTAAACTCCGCAGCCTGGGGGGGGGGGGGGGAGAGGAGGCTGGAGGAGGCCAGGGCAGGGTTCTCTCATAAAGAGGGTTCAGGGGCGCCTGGCTGGCTCAGACAGTTAAGCATCTGACTTTGGTTCAGGTCATGATCTCGGGCTCCCCAGTCAGCGGGGAGTCTGCCTGTCCCTCTCCCTCTGCTCCTACCCCCGGCTTGTGCTCTCTCCATCTCTCTCAAATAAATAAACAAAATCTTAAAAAAAAAAAAAAAAGGGTAGGGTCCAGCCCAAAGGCCCAGGCTGCCCAGGTTTTAGGGCAGTGCTTCCTGACAGTGCCCAGTGGCCCTTGATGTTTCTGGTCACACCTGCCCCCACAGCCCCCCTCCACACTGAGCCCTGTGCTGGGCACATTTCCTTGGCCCCTCGCCCTCCAGCCTCAGCTCTCCTCTCCTCTTCTTACTTGGACTAGGAGGGGTGAAGAGGGGTGGGGACGGAGGGGTCACTAGGGCTTGCTAGGCAGTGGCTGGCCCTGCTCTAAGTGAGGGTACTCGGTACCTTTCGTTTTCAGCCAGAAATGCCACGTGACACGTGTGGCGCTGTATCTGCCAGGGGACATGGACCAGCTATCAGCAGATACCCCAAGGCCTGCCCCGGGCAAGGCTGGGCTGAGGAGGCCCTGCGGGGGTGAGGCCAGTGTGCCAGGGAGCGTGCCCGTGTGCACTAAGAAGTAGGAGCCACAGTAGAGCTGTGAGGAGGGGGGCGGCGGGGAGGGTGCTACAACTCTCCTGGCCTGGAGCCCTGTTTCGCCACCTCTCACCTGCCCCTCGTCTTTCCCAGCAGAGGAAGAGGAACCCTCCAGAAGTCGTGTACAACGTGAGTACGGGAGGGGGCTTGGGAGGCTGGAGCTGGGCTCGGGGTGAAGGCATTGCTCCTTGCCCCGAGTCTTTGCCTGACTTGACTTTCACCTTCCTGCGCCACTTGGCTCACGGTCTTGCTGCCTGCAGCGGCGGGCTGCTGGCTGGCTGTTCGGAGGACTGCCCCTTCGCTTGCCTTCCCCCCTCCTCGGTCCCCGGGGCCGCTGTTGGCGTTCCCTGTAGACGGCGCTGGGGGACAGCAAGGTCAGGGGAGAATAGGGTGGCAAGCCCCTGGGAGGTCAGCCTCACTGCCTGGGTGCGGATCTGGTTGTGGTTTCCAGACTGTTGATCTGGGGCGGCCCTGAAGGGGACCGTTGCAGGTGGTAACCTCCTGTGAGGAGAGCCACCTCTTCTTCCTTCCTGCAACTGGCTGATCCACAGCCCATGGCATTGGCCCTATAAGGAGACAAGTTGCTCAAGTAAGTGGTTCTGGGGACCGCAGGTGAGCCCTTGCATTGTCCACATTCATGTGCTTCGGCTAAGAATTCCACATTTTATCTCCCAACCTAACTTGAGCTTCTCAGCTCAGTGCACAGGGCTGGCAGCTCAGAGAATGTTCCAAGGGGCTGAGGAGAAGGGTAAGGCTGGAGCTGGTTGTGGGCAGAGATGCTTGTGTGAATAAGGACTGGAACTCTGACTGTGGGAGCTCCCTGCCAGCTAGGAAGTCGAGAGGCTTCCTCCTTCCTCTTGTGTGGAAGCCCACAGTTTTCTGCATTAATTAGTAAACTCCGTGTCCCACGCCCTCTGCTTTTCCAGGCGCTGCAGAAAGACAAGATGGCGGAGGCCTACAGTGAGATTGGGATAAAAGGCGAGGTGAGTGCTGATTCCCAAGGATTGGGTCAGGGTGGGGATGCTCCAGGGAGGCCCCCCTCACCTTCTAGACGCGCCTGCTGCATAGGCCTCCGTCCCGTCCATTTGCAGCTGTTCCTTGCATCACTGACAGAGGGCCCTGTGGTAGCTGCCAGGGGCAAACGGTAACCCAGCTCTTCCCCACTTGACAGCACCTAAGACAGAGAGGAAAGGTGATGTTCTTTCAGGAACCAAGTCTAGGTTCTAAGACACACTAAGCTTTGTAAAAAGCAAGTCGAATCTGTCACCAGCAGTAATTACTAAGTGCTTACTGTGTGCCATGCTGTGTCAAGACTCTGGGGCAAAATGGAAGTGCAGGGCCCCTTGTTTCTAAAAGATTAAGAATTTCCAAATGGTGAGAGCAGAGCATTGACCCCTCCTGGGCAGGGGCTGCGTAGGTCACGTGTCCCCAAAGCAGGCCTGGTCAGTGCTTTACTGGGTAGGTAGTCTCACGTCATCCCCACAATAACCCAGTGAGAAATATGTGCCCTGCAAGGCACAGGAGGTGAAGTGACTTGCCCAAGGTCGCCTAGCTAGTAAACAGGGGAGCCCAGATGTGCGTGGACTCTGTAGCCAGAGCCGCTACCACTATGTGGTTGCCATTCCCGGTGAGCATTGAGGAGTAGCCAGGAAGTCCGGGAGCAACAGGGAGGCCCATTTATTCCAAGCAGCAGGCAACATGGCCAGCTCCCATGCGGCCCAGATTCTAGGACTCTGGTGTCTCTGAGCATATGAGCGGGGCAGAGCAATCCTGGGCCGCATCGAAGCCAGTCCTCACTTTCTCTGCAGAGTGAGGTCTGACCAGTGGCCTGAAGACCCTTCTTTCCCAGGGGCAAGGGTGCGGGCTGGGAGACGGTCACCTCCGACTCTCTGGGGGCCCCTAGAGTAAGGGCCTTGAGCAGGAGCCGCTGCTGAATGTCTCTCTGCCCTTTTGTCTCCTTCCCACAGAACCAGCGTCGGCGAGGGAAGGGGCACGATGGCCTTTACCAGGTAAGAGATGAGGCGGTGCCTCTGGTCTGTGCTGCAGGACTTCCCTCCCTGCGTGGTGCCATCTAATCGGGATCAAGTCTAGACTCCCCCATTTTGCTTGCTTGGTGGCACCCAGATCTTGCCATCAGCTGGGCAGGGCTAAAAGCCCAGGCCTCAAATGAGGTCCCAGTGCCACCTCTGCCAGGAAGGCCTTGGGGCATGCCTGGGATTCAGCCATCCAAGCACGTGACTTGGCTCCAACCAGGAGACCATGGGAGCCCCCAGGCACTGGCCACAGATAAGCAGCCACTGCCCAGAGGGCTGATGTAGGCAAAGGACACCACACAAGCAATTTCCTGCCTCTTCCTCCACAGCTCTGGGCCCTTGCAAGAAGCCTTGCTCTGCCCTGTATCCTCAGACCTAATAAGATGGGTGGCTGGGTGGGAAAATTGAAGGGAAAAAAAATCAAGAGAAACAATAACTTTAAAAAGGATATGCTGTTATAGTCAGTCACGTGCCTGGTGTATGCAAATAAGTGTGAGAAATTATGCAAACCAAGGATCCCCAGCCTACTTCTCTAAAATATAATCCCCAGCGGGTTCTTATTTGGCTACTTCTGGCTCCCCTGGGCTCTTCACAGCTTGCTTGACTGACTCCAACGTGTCAGGCTGCCCAGCTTGCCCGAGTTCAGAATGATGTCAAAAGGGCCCCCAGAATGTTCCTGTGTGTGGCTGCTTTGATCTGTCTTCTGGATCAGGGAGAGATGTTCCAGTGGGACTGGGACCAGCTTGCCTGCTCCCCGACAAAGAACATACCTGTAGTAGGGTGACCTGGGAAGGAGGCTGGGGAAGGAGGGCTGAGGTCAGGGAGCCACCATCTCCCTGTGACAAGTCCTGGCTTCCTGGAGGCCCAGGTATCAGGGACAGCAAACTCTCTGGAGCAAACCTGATCCCAGCTCAGTGTTCAGGGATGAGGGTGCTCCCCTTCCTCTTGGGTCCAAACGGAAGTTCTTCTAGGCCCACGCACAGCAGGGCTCAGTATTTGGCAAGAATTTAGCTGGAAAGGAATTGCTCCAAGGCCACCTCCGGCAGGGCAGAGAGTGCATCTCTCCTGCAGCCCTCTGGGGTCCAGGCCCCCACCTGCGGCGTGAGGGGCTCGTTCCACTTGTTGACCTCTAGGTAGGCTCGTGCCCACACGGAGTTCCTGACCCACTTTTCTTTTCTGATTTGCTTTCACAGGGGCTCAGCACTGCCACCAAGGACACCTATGATGCCCTCCACATGCAGACCCTGCCTCCTCGCTAACAGCCCCAGGCATTTCACCACCCATTTCACGGGCCAGACCTGCCCAGATTGTTAAAGACAAAGGATAAAGCATTTATAACCCAGGTCACTTCTATTTCTCCACCACCAAAGTATTCCCTCTTATGAATTGGATGCTTTGCATTTTAACATTTGGTCATACCCAACTCCAAACCAACATCCCCGGACTCTGGAGGGGAGGGGGGCTCTGCCAGGGTTATGGCCCTGTCCTCGAGGAGTCCTTTGTGAGTGCCACCCGTTCTCGGGGCTTCTGGGGGTCTTGTGGTTCCTCGGAGACTGTGGACAGGCCCCTCTCCTGGAGGCCCCGGGCTCTTACCTGGGAGACGGGTACATACTCCTCTCACAGCCGTGTTCTGTCCGTGTTTTGTCAAGCCCCCAGAGAAATCCCAAATGTTAGCACATATCCACTAGTCTTCATTGTTCCGTCAGTATTTCAGTGTCTTTGCTCCTGCTGTAAATTTGGCTTCTGTTGTCAACCTGCGCCCTCTTTTCAAGGTCACTTGTCACTGGGGCAAAGGGGTTTGTTGTGCCTCCCCGTGCAAGGTCTGGGCGGGTGGGGGTGGGGAGAGCCGTGCAAGTCTGTGACAGCCCCAGCCAGGGGCGGCTGAAGCAGGGGAGCAGGGGAAGGGTGATGGAGGCTCAGCTAGAGCACGGGGCGGGGTGCGGGGCAGACAGGAAGGGGCCCTCTTTCAATCGAGCGTACATTCCCCTTCATAGAACTTAGCGTTTGTGGGCTGGGCACTCTGGGGAGCGGACGATGAACAAGCCTGTGCTTGTCCTCACAGAGCTCACACTCTCGCAGGGGACGCGAGTTGTGAACAGACAGCCCTCAAAGCACGTAGTAAGGGCCATTGCAGAGCGCGAACAGTGGGGGCGAGGGAAGGGGGCAAGTGCACACTCTTTCCAGGCACTTGTTCACCTCACACTCCGAGTGAAAGACAGCGTCCCTGTGAAGGCCTCCCCAGGAGGCACGGCCCCTCGCAGACCTGCAGAGACCCGAGGGCTGTGGCGGGCCAGGGTCGCCTTGGAGGGCGTCCGGGATCGCCTCGGCTGGCTTCTGGGGTCGCCTCGGCTGACTTCCGGGGTCGCCTCAGCTGACTTCCGGGGTCACCTCGGCCGACTTCCGGGAACAGTACTGTGTAAGGTGTCATGTGTGACCGTCTCTGCTCCGCTTGGTTTTAATTTATACGGGTTTGTTAAAGTCTTACTTACTCTCCTGCATAATAAACGATTTGGTGAAACAGCTTTTACTGTGAGCTTTATTTCGGCAGTCCAGCAGGTAATGGTGATTCAGTCGGGGGCGACCCATCTGGTGCCCTTGCCATGGGCCGAAACCGCTGACTCCCAGAGGGCACGATGTTTCCTTGGGCCATGCAGGTGGGCACAGGTGCATCCAGGGGCCGGGAGTGCTGCCGTCCGGGCTGGCGGCCAGGCCTTGGGGCCAAGCGGGCATCAGGCTGGGCCAGGCCAGGGAGGGACCTGCGGGAAGGGCCCGGGGAAGCAGCCGGAGTGCAGGGCTCCCAGTCCCGTGGCCAGCTTGGGGAGGACGGGCACGCGGCAGAGGAGGGCCACGGAGCAGCCCCTGGCAGCAGAGGGTGTCTGGGAGTTGCGACAGGCTGCTGATGCCACGGCACAAACCCTCAGGCTGCAGGGTTTGGGGAGGGCTGGAGCGTGAGAGGTCTCTTTAGGTCAGGGTGTCTGTAAATGTGGTGGCCGTAAAAAAGGCCCCAACTCGTCAAGCTCCCAATTAATATGGGGCCGACTTGGAGCATCTGGGATTCCAGCAGGAGTGACTCGAATCTCTGCTAGGCGTACATGTAGCTCCTCTCGAAGAGAAGGCGTTCGATTGGAAACCTGGCCTCATCGGGGGAATGCAATGCCATTCAACAAATATTTACCCCGCACCTACCTATTTCTGTGCCCAGCATTTTGCAAGCTACCAGGGAGGGCAGAGAAGAGCCACCACAGCGTTCGGGACTTAAAATTTTGCCATTGGATTCCGGCCGCACCATGGAAAAAGCACCGCAGGTCGCATCATGACCCACAAGGCGGCAGGCGGGAGGGGGAGCCGCCAGGGAAGGGGTGCAGACAGAGTCCAGCAAGGGGCTGGGAAGCAGGGCAGGTTTCATGCGAGGAAGACCTCTAATGCCTGCCGGCCCTAATTAGGCAACCTGGTCACCAGGCAATGGAATGGGAAAATGACAGCAAGCAGCTTTAGCTGCCTTCATTCCAAGACAACAGATGTCCCCTTTTGGGTTGCTACTCCTTTGGCTTCTACTCACTGGGTTTTTTAAAACCTGAGGTTGGGTTCATCTGTTAGTCAAAGTGAGTGAGCCTCATACTTCAGACCTAGTCAAGGTCTACTGAGTTACCCCACAGGCTGCGTGACCTGTATGGCTGGCTTTCAAATAAGAGTTGGACCCAGTTCCGTCAAGAATCTGACCCAAAAGACAGGGAGGAAAGCTAGCAACGAGCTGTGGGTGCTGCAGCTAACCTAGGTGGGGGAGTGAGGACACTTACTGGATCACAGGCAAGACAGCCACACAGAGCAGCCAGCTGGGGGAACGAAGCAGGGGCGGAGGGGAGGCAGCCCTAGGGCTGCCCAGTCCCTGCCCTTCCTCGGGTCTGGGAGTCCTCCCTTCAAAGCACAACTGGATTCCTTCCATCCCAGGAAATTACTGATTGTAGAAGATGTGCTATCAACTTACTTTTAAGTACAAACAAACAAACAAAAAACCACTCTTAATAGAAACATCCATTGTAAGATGCAGCCCTATTTCGTAAAAGTTAAAATATGAAGATGTGTTTTAGGACCAAGGAAGTATGGCATTTCACTTGCATTGAGGAACCAAAACATTTTATGTGTGTACGTAAATTAAAATGGAAGCTTCCAAAGTATGTTTCAAAACTGTCAGGACTTTGACGTCACTAAAGTCAATGTGGATAATTCTGATCAATTTTTCTTCTTCCTGGAATAGAACTCAAGGCTCCTGGTTTACAAACAGAATAGTCACTGAAGCCCAGGTGTGGCAGGTACAAAAAGGGCAGATGATCCATTCAGGCTAAGAGGATAGCTCCAAAGAGGACTCAGGGCCTGGGCGTTCGGTTACGGCCGTTTAGCTGTAAATCTTGTTCTGTCCATGAATAACTCATGCATTTTGGTGGCCTGGCCCTGGATATTTCTGTGAACCTATGAGGTCTAACTACAGATTTATGTCCTACAACTTCAAGCCCTAGTTTTTGGAGAAGAAAAGGCAACAATAAGAGATGTTATTCATATCACCTTGTAGGTGATTCAGCTTGGCAGATGCCAATAGGAATTGGGTTAGAAAAGGACTGCAGGGTAATGATCTAATCAGTACTTTATATCCCTGTTCTTTAGGGCTGACAAATGGGTTTTGCTTTCTCAAGTCTTTCCCATGCTAGTGAGTGTGCCACTGTCTCTACCAGAGGATTTCTATTAAAAATAAGCCCCCAAACTTACACACAAGCTATAAATACAAGAAGGGGTGGATGGTAATGGAGGAGGAGCTCTTGGAGGCAGGAGCAGGGGAGAGAAGAGCCGGTATTGCCTTCCCACTCTGGGCCCTGTAGGGGACGGCCAGCGCCTTGGAGACAACAGCTGTCTCCTCCTTTGCGGGGCACAGGTTCAGCGCAGTTAAGACAGGAATGCCTCCGAAAGCTCTTCAACAAGCTGAAGTTTGCTCTCTGTGGAGAATTCACTTTAAGATTCAAATGTTCAGACAACAGGTTGCATTATGACATGAAATGTGAACTAGTCTAAGCCGTAGGGAGCTAAGCTAAGCCAAGATGTGTTCTCTCCGACAGGAGAACCAGACACCAAGTCCAGGACTAGTCTCTTTCAGAGAACTCCAGAGAGTGGGTGTTCAGGATGTGGCAGGGAAGGCTGGAGGGGCACAGGAGCGTAAACAGTAAATGTGGAAAAGTCAAGTTCAATGCCAGGTCTGCCTTCAAAGACTCAAGTGAAATGGGAGCTCTGGAGAGTTCTCTTGCAGGACTAGTCAAGGGCCCGTGTGTCTGGTCACACAAAGCCCAGGGGGTGTGAAGGAGACTACTGCTACTTGAATCAGGGCCCCCCCTAAGCCCTGAGGGTCTGGGGAGGGAGAGGTGTGCTAGTCACAGCGCCCCCCAGAGGCACAGGAGGAAACGCACCGTAGGACCCAGGGTGGGCGTGGGCTAGGAACCGAGATGATCAGGGGGCCTGGGGCTCCTGGGAGCTCCTGCTGGAAAAGACAAACTGGAAGGCTTCCGTGACCCCCTGTGCGGGAAGCATCCAGAACACCAACACAACAATTTCAAGGAAACTCCAACAATGTGAAAACACTTGGAAAATGGTTTAATGATGTTTTACAACAGAAACGAACTGTACAGTTACAGTAAGTTTAATATATATATAAAAATTACAGCAGACAAATGCATCTACACAAAATCTACCATTTCGTTCTGATTCACTGTCACCTACCCAATCTCCCAAGCCTACAGCCCCTGCAGGAGGCCCCAGGAGGGGGAATCATATAAAGGGCACTTTTAAAGAGACAGCACCGCTCATATTCCCCACCGCCTCCCTCAGGCCTCTGGGAGGCACATCAGCTAATTCCCCAAAATGTAAAGTTGCTTGTGTTTTGGGTTTTTGAAATCAAGAAAACGTGTGTTTCCCAGGGGACCAGATAACAAGGTCCCCCAAACTCCAAGTTATCAGCAGATTCTTATAAAACACCCCTATCAGAGGGGAAATGGCTAAGCAGGCGCTCTGGGGCAGGCTATACAACAGCCACCCAGACTGCAAAGTGATCTAAGGAGAAACGTAAAAGGACGCCCAACCAACTACTTAGAAACTGTCACTGCCTCGTTAAAGCTGCTGGACGATTTTGGAAAGAATCATTTACACCACATCTTAAGTTTCCACAAAAGAGAACTCAAACTCACATTTTAAACTTAAGTACATAAAACAAAAAGTTTCAGGAGGCCAAGGGGCCAATACCCCTTATGACTCTCCCTTGACAACAGTGGAAAAACACCCCTGAATCAATATTTAAAAAAAAAAAAGGAAGAAAAGAAAAAGAGGGGGAGGAGGAGTTAAGATATTTAAAGACAGAGAGAGAGAGAGAGAGAGAGAAAAGTCTTTAGGAAAACAAGATCACTGTCTCTTTAAAACAAAACAAAATCCTCGTTGGGAACAGTAATCAGCAAATATGCAATCCAAATTGAACCTGGTGGAAGTTTATTACTGAATATTATGTACACTCAGAACTTTTTCATTTTCTTTTTTATTATGAACACCTAGGCAGTGAAAACTGTTATGTTAATACATACATAGACACACCCAAAACATACAAAAATACTATTATTTCAAACTACTAAGAATAGGACAGTTCAGTTATTTTCATGCTATGACTTTAAGAGCATTACACTGAAACAAACAAGAAGTTAAACGACATTTTTTTTTTAATATCCCAGAAATATACCAAAATATACATCTAAGCTTTGGAATTACTGAGGTTAGACTAATGCAAGTGCTGGGTAATCGTACTTAATACACAAGTCTAAGGTTCTGCAGGAAAGAAATCATCTTTGGTATCTGCATCAGGCTAATATTATTAACATTTGGATTTTGCTTTGGGATAGAGCTTGTATGACCCTAGAACCAAATACCCCCCTCCCCCAATCAACTGAGATTAAAAAGATCCATGTAAAAAGTTCCTTCATTTGCAATCCCCCCACCCCCACCCCCAAGTTAAAAAGTCACAGGCATCTACCTAGCACAAAGGTTGTGAGATACAATGCATAGTTGCACAGTGGTGCTGCCAAAGGAAACGAACTACAGCAAGGAGAAATGAAAAGCGTGGTAACCCTTCTACATGTTTTCTCACAAACAGGGCAGCCACTTCCAAGCAGTTCCAGTCAAGGAAAAGAGAAAAGGCTCAGAAGGGCACCTTGGCGTGTACTCACTGTCATGACCCCAGAGGTCCAAGCACCCAGCAGAGCAGCCAGGCCTGCACCAGTGTCTTCAACTTCCCCCCACTCTGTGGGTCCAGCGGTCCAGCGGCAGCCCCCAGCCCCCCAGTCCCTGTGCTAAGCCCCCGCGGTACCGTGGTTTGCTGTCCGGTAGATAAGCACGGTGACGGCATTTTGTCTACTGGAAAATCTGAAATGCCAATTTGTTCCACGGCACATTCACAAGTTGGCCAGAGCCAAAGCTACTGAGGATGCACCTCTGCGAACCC